AGATTCCACTGTTCATCACCCGATACAAAGGAAAAAGCCGTACAATCCAAATCCAAAATACTACGCGTGAGGAGGATCATGACGAACCGTGTTAACCTAGCGCCCCCACGCGGTCGCCACAAGCGGTGGATCGACGGCCTTGAGAGAACCCTTTGCCAGGCACTCAAAGTATATAAGGCGCACTGGTACCATGTACTAGCGCAATGTTTACATGCGTACTTACGGCATGTTTACGTTCAGTGTTCATAGGAGCGATTCGGAAACATGTATCTCTTTCGGGTGGACATGATCAAATCGAAGCATGACATGCGTTACGTCACAGAGTCACGTGACCTCACGGCACAATGTGACGTCAGGGTGGCACATGACACCCTAAAGTCAAGATCATTTAAGCAGTATATATCTCTTTTGGAACTATATTGTCTATATGACCTTGACCTGCTTGTCAGTCGAGCGTAACGTTTGAGAACAATGTATCACTTCTCTCCTAAAACATTTAACACATTCTGCTTCAATAGTAAATAGAAATGCTTATTTTACGCTCGTTTGGAAGGTATCCGCAACTCAATTATCCTTTAAAGGTAATTGAGTCTCCGTTACAGTTTACTGTAAATGAAATATGAGCTACAAATAAATTCGCCATTTCCGAATATAACGAAGTTACATTTGTAATTATTCGCCTAAAGTAGTTAGATTACATTGAATCAATGTCATATCGCTGCAGTGATTACCATACTCAAATCTGACTAGAGGTGATGATGCTGAGATAATATTGAGTAAATAATGTGGTAATCACTCCCAAAAAGTAGTTCGTGTCGTATTTCATGTGGACGTCACAAAGGTAATTTAGAGGCCCAAATTAAGATTTGGGCCTCTTATGTTACGTATCGAAAAGAGCGCGTCACGTTTTGTCACAACGTCTATGCCAAATCTCAGCACGGCTCTATAAACTTTCAGAAGAGCGGGAGGAGCACAATGATCCGGGAGACGCATCCTCCAGGCAGGACCAGCGAGCCCCAGGCAAGTGATTCAAACCGGCATTTAAAGGGGAAAAAAATAGCCTTATTTACGCACATCAGAAGGCGCTTACTATGTTTTGATACCTCGAACAAGCTCCTAAATTGTGGTTTGCCTTAAGCGCGAAACACATGTACGACGAAACCGTCCGATCCGACGTCAGACCGCGCAATACGACGGTCGGAGGCGAGGGTTTTCAACGCCCTCCGATGCTACGAAAACCCTCTCCCCCCCAAGGTCATTCCGGCAGTCCGCACGTCGGATCGGAAGGTGTCGTCGTACATGTGTTTCGCGCTTTATACCCGTGCCACACGGGCAACTCGAATGCCATTTACAACGAATGACATTTGAACGATCGGCCAATCAGCGCGCGACACTCCGAGCGTGGGGCGTTCCACGCGCGACAGATCGTGAGCCGATTCGTCCATCACACGAATGTCATTCGTTCTAAATGGCATTCGGGTTGCCCATGTGGCACGGGTATTATGTCCGTCAAACACTAAAGGAAAGAGGTAGACACTTTATTTCAAAATCGGGCAACCCAGAGACACTGACTATGCTAGGCTTCACAGGCGCTCGAGCTATTTCGGTGCTCAAAAATCACTGTCGCAAATTATCTGAAACTTCATCTGAAATCCTGAAAACTGTCCTTTTTGTTTCTCAGAAATGCTAAAAAGTGTCCGCGACAAAGCGAAACAATATCCCCCGAGTTTCCTGACACCGACTACGTGGAGCTCAGAAAGTCGCGTTTTCGACTCGTGTAACACTTGCCAAATACGACGAAAAAGACGCAGCCATTTTGCTACCATGTATACCAAGTACCAAAATGGCGGCGTTCACAAGAAAAATTGACCAATTGACTGTCGATACTCTGAGCGCCGCTAATGTTGTGACTATGGTCACTGCAAAGGTGAGAACGCATCCAGAGCGAGCTTTCTACCACCGACAAGTTCCTTACGCCGTCTCGTTCACCTCGAGCGCGCGTGCAGCTGAAGCACAGTGGTTGAGCAAACGTGGCGTGTTCGCTCTGCTAAAGTGGAGGGAGAAGCTTCCCCTCAACTCTTAACCTGTCACCAATTATACGCACTACCATAAATGGAATTATATCGAGCACGTGAGGACACGTAAAAAGACTCAGGAATATACGCGGGACCGAAGTACTCGAAGCTATCAGATACTTGGCGACGTGGGCGCTCTCTCGTTCTGGGCGGTCGCGAGCGGTCGCAACGTAGTCGATCACGCTCAGAGGCAAATGTGTGAACCACCCCTTACGCTATGCAGCGCCATCGCATGCAGTTGCCGCGATATGAGACGCGGATGCTGCCGACCTATTCCACGCTCTAATATGGTCCCCTCGATCATGTGTAGGGCAGCAGAGAACTGTGCACAAACGTGGCTCAAACGTGGCTGGATAGCTAAGTGAACCCAATGCTTAGTCAACTTATTCCCTGGGCAGTATACCGGGCTTTACGGGCCTTGATAACGTGGGAGAGAACTTTTTTCCGCAGACATCGCTCTTTGTCTAGAGTCTAGACAAATGAAGCATTATCGTTGTATATCTTTGTCGAGTGTCCGCAACCTAGTACCTTCTATTTGCTACGCAGTCCTAACAATGCTGGAATCGAAGGTTGGAGGAAAACGATTCGTTGGTGAAATAGACCGATCTCACTAAGCGTTCCACGCATCGTGACTCCGCCATAACTGTAGTTTATAGGAGGCAGGGGCCAGTGCACGAGACAGCTCCTTACACTTCGTGCTCTGCTCCCGCAGAGCCTCAGTGGGGTTATCGCTCGTCCAGGAGGAAGACTACAGTTTTCACGATTCGTGGCGGCAGCGGTGGCGTAATGAAACTGGCTGTGAGATCGGTCTATTGCACGTAGGAAGCCTAGAAATCGCTAAAGGGCATTCCAAACCAAAGAAGCCTAGAAATCCACGGCACGTGTCCGCAGTTGAAACCTCTCCCGTCAAACAGTGCTTACGTGTTCCAAGGTCATATTTCGCTATTTGAGTCGCGGACAGCGGTAACGCCTGAAGCCACGACTTTTACCCAAGGTCGCTCGATATGTCTGCTTGGTGCAACGTCGAACCACTGCATTTGGTTTGTGGATGCTTCAGTCTGAAGGTAAACGCTTGGGACACCCAGCTACGTATGTGTCGCCGGCACGCCCAGCGACTTTCGCCACCGAGCTACGCCACGTTAGGCAATGCCGAGTGTGTTGCGATCTCTTGTAACAGCTGGTGGCGCCATCTATCAGGTGTACCTGGATCAGTTCCGACCTGTTTAGAACTAGACTCGATGTTTGTCAGTATTTGCGAGACGAAATCTACGCACTTCTTAAGACAAAGAGTCCATTATACTAGTGTCAGTATTATTTCAAGCCCACGGTAAAAGTATTATATGCGTAAAAAATTATAAAAAATATATACGCCGTTCAGTGTTCCAGCTGCCTGATCGATGGCGCGATAGTGCCAGTGGTTGTTTAAGTAAGTATACAGGGGCCTTCTCACTGATCTCTATGACACTTGCTGGATCGCGCTTCCCCGCTTGTTCGCTGCAGCGCAAGTGAAGCCACCGGACTTCACTCGCTTGGGATACGATTTGCCGTTTTTGCTAGCCTTTGCTGCGGTTTTCCAGCGTGCTGTAGACACATTTTCTACTCGTTCGTCGTCATTCGCCGAAGAAGTTTTTTGAAGACTCTGTGTATTGTTGAGACTTGCCGTTGTGAACACGTGGAAATTTTACGAAAGTGCAGTGTCGCAGGAAAAAGGCACAGCGCGTCGAAAGGAAGGGCTGGCGGCGTGTTCAAAGCTTCCTTGGCACGCCGAAGTGCCGTGTCTCTGTGCCTTCGCACGCTTGGATACCGACCAATTGAACCGACGCCGTGTGTATGTGTTTAGCGAGTGCAATGTGCGTGAAGCTGTTCGTGCCTCTGGATCAGCGTCTTTTCCCCTCGCGGTTTAGGAACGAGCTTAATCCAGCGTCCACTAGCAACGGAAGATGGGCGGAAGGTACGTCTTTTTTTCGTCCTTAGACGATTTACACAATACCGTGCACAACAGCTCCTCATCACTGATCAGTGCTGGCTTATTATCAACCTACTTAATTGCACTTTACGTTTGAGCGCGGCTCGCCTAATTGTAATTGGTCAACAGATTGCACACGACCATATCGGCCGCGCTTCAAAGATTTTCATTCTCGCCGTCTTGTACTTTTGCTTTCGAAAACCCCCCTGGCTCCACAACGTTGCCCTATTCGTGCTCCCACGGAATCTATTAGAGTAGATTTGGGACATAGCCATGGTTAATATAGTACATAAGAACACGTACAGATCTCCCCCTTTTATTGATAGCAACTCACCGGAACAGCTGGACGATCCAGAACTCCGTGGCCGATATACATAAATGATCTAAAGGCATCTACGCGCGACACACGTTCAGAACTTTGGCGCGGCGTCAATTCTTGACCGGTATCCAAGCGTGCGAAGGCACAAAGATGCATCACTCGGCGTGCCAAGGAAGCTTTGAACACGCCGCCAGCCCTTCCTTTCGACGCGTTGTGCCTTTTTCCTGCGACACTGCACTTTCGTAAAATTTTCCACGTGTTCACAACGGCAAGTCTCAACAATACACAGAGTCTCAAAAAACTTCCTCGGCGAATGACGACGAACGAGTAGAAAACGTGTCTACAGCACGCTGGAAAACCGCAGCAGAAGGCTAGCAAAACGGGAAATCGTATCCCAGCGGGGTTGCGTCCGGTGGCTTCACTTGCGGGAGCGGCAAGCGCGATCCAGCAATTGTCATTGAGATCAGTGGGCCTTCTGTTTAAGTGGTTGGCCGCGCCACCTAGGAACTTGCTCCATTCCCCGTGAACACTTACGGAATGAACGCTACCGGTTTAAGACTGATGTTTACCCTGTCTCCACGCAGAGGAGTTCGCGTCAACTCGGCCTGTTCCACTCGTGCACTGCGCCAGTGGTCCCATCATGACATTCGGACAGCCTGGCCCCGGTAAGAACAGCAACAAAAAATGCCCCCCCCCCCAAAAAAAAAAAATAAATAAATAAAAAAAGATAAATAAAAGATAAAAAAGCCTACCACGATGAGAACGCCAGGGCACCTCTCTCAGATGCACACTCTCCAGCGCGCGCTTGTTGCTTTCCGTCGTGCTTCGGTTGAGGTGGGGAAGTTGAAAGACTTCTCTGACGTTCTCATCCTGCCAGTGATTAGTGGCGACTCTAGAGAGCCTCCATTGAAGAGAGGGCCAATTTCAATCCACGGGGAGCGTTTGCAATTTAATGGCGAGCACCTCCTGCGGCGATCGGCCGCAAGTGCGCATGCGCTGCGTTTTTGCGTGGCGAGGAGGAAAGCAGGAGGGAAAGCGGAGGCGTTTGCAGATGATCGACGCCTTCGTCACGTCCTCGCAGCTCGTGTTGCAAATGCGCGGGCCCATAAACCACATGACTATGACCGAGCAGTTGGAAACTGTCTGTAATACGGGCCTACGGGCCCTCTGAAAAAGCGCCACGCCCGTCAGGGAGAGAGAGGATGACGACAGCCACGGTAGGATCAAAGGTGATGAGAGACATTCATCTTAATGAGAGACATCGAGATTAGAGAAGCAAAGCCGCGAAGAAAACTGACACAATAAAAAACTATAGAAGTCTGATCGTGCTGACAAAGACAGGTAAGCACATAAATCGTGATAGGCCTTGCACCTATCGGCGTTTTTCTCCTCGCGGCTGGTTCTCCTCGGAGCTCTGGCTGCCACCACGATCATAGCCGCGCTCCGACTGCTGGCTCTGAACACGGCTCGTTTTTCCTTCCTCGCGCTCACCTTTCACGAATGGCAACCGCCGCCGCGTCACTGCTGAGCGGCGTAGCCATGGCAACCGCCGCCGGCGTTGGTGTCGGAAGGTGCAACGATGTCGAACCGCGCCGTGGGGCGACGCGATGACCGACGAAAGAACATGATGGCGCCCGTTTGTTCACAAGTCAAGTGAAGGTGTATAGCTCGGATTCGAGGGCGTGATGCATTCTCGGAAGGCTAACACACGAGCGCCGTGCGTGAGAGATGCGCATATGTGGAGACATTGACACCGGCGCCTCGAAGATACCTGTTGCGACCTCAGATGTGCTTGGGTTGCCAGGAGTTACAACTGCCGCCTCGCACTCGCGTCCCCGGCTGTGCCCTTTGACACGATGCCCTTTCCTTTCTGTCCATAAGCTCATAAATCGGCAGCAACTTTGGCGTGCTCGTGCGACAGCCAGGCACTGAGAGAAATTCACCATTCGACCATGAAGCTGCTAGGTTCCATGCGCCCTTGGGCTGTCCAAGAGCCTGTTCGTACGAACGTCTACGACGAAATGTCGTGCAAGCTTGTTTAAACAAAAATATTTGCCCCCTTTGCCAAAAGAGGAATCACAATTGTTTAATATAGCAGCTCGATATTACATGTTTCTACGTGATTATCCAGCGATTCAATTTGTTACACCAACAAGAGTTTTTTTTTTCTTTTTACAAAAGCAGTTTTTTTTTTTTTTTTTGCAGTCATTTTTTTGCCTGATTAAAACACTTTATGTTGATGACAAAGGTCGTGCAAGCTTTTCTTCAGCGTAAAATGTTATAATTCATTTTTATGCGTTATCTGTTGTATTTGATTAGGCGTGCAGCACCCCTCTTCACAGTCGATCGAAACGTTATTCAATCGTTGTTAAAGAACCATGTGCGTCGCGATCGGTGAGACGCGGCACGTGTCTTGCTCCGCCATATTTCGCGCGCGGTGCATCGCTCGGCTTGCGTGATGCCTCTCGGTTCTTGCTTGCATCTCTTTCCCGCTTATCAGATGACAAGCTCCACGGAAGAGCGTCGTTCGAAAAAAGCCCTTCTTTGCTGCCCGCACGCGAACAGGGACGGGCGGGTAGCAATCCTAGCGCCACCAACGGCACCGCTCCCAAGGACAGCGGAAAAGGACCGTTTTCGAACGACGCTCCTTTTTTGAGCAAACATTTTGAAAAAACGTTATGTCCACCATAAAAAAGAAAAAGCAGAATCTTTTTTTCCCGCGGGCAATTTATTTATTTTTATATATTCATATACATATATGCATCTCCCAGAGGGCGCTGATGTAGGGGATTACATGGATATACTACACATTATGTAAAAAAATCTAAAAAAACAATATACACTTAAATATAAGCACATAAAGTTTATAACAATGTGCGTACAACGCTCTACCGGTTCCCGTCACTTCTGTTCAAAGAGGCAATAGGCAGATAGCGTAGTGATGCGCCACCGACCGGACGAGCCACAAGGAATGCGCCAGGTGTTTCAGGAAGCTTGAGAAATGACTTTACTCGAGTAACGTGGTTTCTCGTCCTGTCAGCGAGCATAACAGTACACCTTTGTGTCAAAAATTACCAATGCACGAAGGAGCATCCTATGCCACTATAGCTACACATGCCACAAATCTGCAAAGCAAAAATCAAAGCACCGTCTCACAAGGATAGCGAAGCTAGCACGCCGCATCGACTCTTGCGCGGAGCGCCAGTTCGTCTGCTGCTTGCGCAGGATGTCAGAACGATGCCGAGCTTTGATTAGCTCTGATTGAAAGGATAGTGGGTAGTCCTCAATGCTAGATGCCTTGAGGTTTATCCACCATTATTTTTCAATCAGCCAATAAGAGCTCCGCGTTCTGACATCATCGCAACCCTTATGCAAGAAGCAGACGAACTTCCGCTCCGCATACGAACGCGTCTGCCACCTTGTGATGGCTCTCCTCAAGTTTCAGTGTTTGCCGCTTGGGGCAGGTCGGCAATCCACTAACGATGATGCCATACGCAGGCTGTGTCTCCTAGTTGGCATTGCATAGGCACGAGGAAGGAGGGACGTTCATTGAAAGGCGCATATCCTAATCGCTCGAATATACATTGTTCCCAAATCCGGAGGGAGAGGACAGAACTTAATCAGGCGTAAAGAAGGTTTTTTTGGTTTTTTTTTTCCACCAGTGTCCGTCATCACAGTATTCAGCAACTGGGGTCCCCACCCGGTGTCCCTGTCCTGCCCCTACTGCAAGACCTTTATCACGACGCAGGTCTGTCCGCAGCCGGGCCTCCTCACCTGGCTCATGTGCAGTGGCATGGCCATGGTGGGGTACGTACATCGAGTTTATGGAATAAATCGAAAGGAAAATGTCGACCATCTTACACGTATATATTTAGGTCGCCTTCGAATGGTGGGGCATACAAGGTGACATTAGTGATGCCGGGGTGTATCCTAATAATGCTTATCACCGTGTATGTATGCGTTGGATGATCGACTCGATGCCCTGGCCCCTAATCTGTATTTAAACGATGACCCAATAAACGTCCTGTTGATCCGCTTGCCGGCTCGGGCTCTCATGTCGTACCAACTTCCGATACATAGTGTCAGAAGTTGTTGGACGTCATGGAACTGCTAAAGCCACCGGATCCGCGTGTTATATCGGTGAACATCGAGAGGAAGTAGAGTCTACAGAAGTTTGAATTACTCCTGAAGGCCACAGCAATTAGCGGAAAGTCGACAGCCACGTCTGAAGCAGCGACGTCGCTGCTGCTGCTCAGCCTTGCTGGAGAAGGTACACTGGAAGCACTGGAAGCATTCAGCAACTTCCAGCTCTCGGACTAAGGAAGCAACAAGGACTACGCTATGGTTGTCAACAACTTCGAGAAGTACCGTGCCCAACAACAGAAAGAAGTCCACGAGAGGTTAATCTTCCGGTCCAGAATGAAGGGAAAATCTGAGCCAATCGGGCAATATTTTTGAGATCTCAAGAAACAGGTAAGGTACTACCACTTTGGAGAATTATGTGATTCAATGAATCGTGACCAGATTGTTTTGGGCACGAACAGAAAAAAAAAAACTGCAAGAGAAGAAAAGGCGCTAAAAATGCTTGCCATTGACTAAAGTGGAGCAAATATGAAAAAAAAAATAAAAACATAAAACACGGATAAAGTAAAAAATCTACACTGGATTTCATCGCGAGAAGAAAGTTGGAAGCATCAGGCCAGAAGCCTAAGCAAAAACCGCACAACTGCAGCAAATGTAATCGAACGCAAACACCCAGGGATAGCCCAGCACTTTAACGAATTTGCCACACACGCAAAGAGAAAAACCATTCCGCCGTTTGCTGGAAGTTCAAGACTCGGATTCGGATGGTGCAAGATGAGGCGGATGACTACGACTTCGAATCGACGTCAGCATCTGCGGTGTGACTATCCAGCGAGGCTCGATTGTCAGGGCAAAGGAGGCTGAACAAGAAGTACGTACAGTTCAAGGTCGACACTGGATCTCAAGCCAAACTGCTGCCTCACGCTACGTACCGCAAGCTGCGCGGAACGAAGGGCCTCACTCCCAGCACCACGGTACTTCGTACCTACGAGAGAGGGCTCATCGGCCATTTCGGAATTACGACCCAGCAGGTCGTTCTGAACGGCCGGCACGAGTAGGCGAATTTTTTCGTCGTAAGGAAAGGCCATCAGGTGATAATGGGATAAAAACTAATTGTTGGGCTAGTTGGGTAAACATCTTAAATACAAAAGCGCAAAGGACAAGGACAGAACAAAGATACGGACAAACGCGCTTGTCCGGTCTGTATCTTCTGTCCTTGCCCTTTGCGCTTTTGTAGTTAAGACAATAATGGGAGTGTAACTCAGTGAAGAACTAGGCTTTTTTTCGAGTACCGTGAACTCAATTACCGGCGACAACGAAGTCGCCAACGCCTTCCCTGGATTTTTCAAAGGCATGGTGTGCGTCGATCCGCATGGTGCTCGACAAAGACGGCGCGAGAGGAGCTCCAACAAATAGAGCCAGCGGAACTATTAAACAAGTTGACGAGCCTACAAACTGGGTGAGTCGTCTTGCCATTGTTAAAAGGAAATATGGCAAACTGGGGAGCTGTTCTAACCCCAGAAAAGTCAACTAGCCTCTCAAACAGGAACACTTTCAATGGCCGAAATGCGAAGACATTGAAGCGAAAGTGGCCGAAGCTAAATGCTTAAGTTGTCTCGATGCGAACGCTGGTCTTCATCACGTTCCTCTAGACGACGCCACCTTCGAAATTGTTTACATTTGGAACTCTCTTTCGGCGCTACTATTTCTGCAAACACCCGAAGTTTTCCACGCACCCCCCCCCCCCCCACACACACACACATACACACACACACGCGCGCGCGCGCGCGCACGCACACACCAAAAAAAAATAACTTCAATTATTCGAATTTCTGCCGGCAGTTCGATTGTTCATTGGTGATAATATAATCTGGAGATGCACAGAAGAGGAGCACAACGAGCACCTCGGAGCAACGTTGCAATCGGCAAAACAAGCCGGTTTGATGGTGAATGCCAACAAGCGTATGTTTGGCGTCACGAAGTTCTCGTACTTGGATATGAGAACTCCGTGAACTTCATCGGTCAAAACGGAATAAGTCCCAACCATAGCCTTGTCAGTTGCTTGCATGACATGCCGTCCGTCACCAGCTGATAAGTTAAGGCTCGTGTACACGGTTGCGTCGACCGCGTTGCGCTGCGTTGAGTCGTGCAGCACAATGCCTCCCCATTGGCTCGTCGCAAGGGGTCGCCAGAGCAACAACTCGACGCAAGCAGCCTTAACAAGACGCAACTGTGCAAATGGGCCTTTAACCCTACAAAGGTTGCTTGGCGTAGTCAACTACTTTGAAAAATATTTAGAAGGCCTCGTCTAAAACCTTGCTCTTGAAGGATCTCATTAAGCATGACTCTGTGTTTAAGTGGACAGAGCAGCAAGCAAGAGAATGGAGCGGAGCGCTTTCTGCAGAACGCTAAGCAATGCGCCTCTTCCCGTGATCTTCGATCCATCAAAGAAAACAAAGATAACACGTGACGCGTCAAAGAACGGAGTCTGTGCGGCAATGTTGCAACGTCATGGCGACAACTGGCGTCATGTTACCTATGCGTCTGGTGCCTTGACAACCGCCGAGTACCGGTACGCCCAAATCGAGAAAGAGGCGCTCGGTATTGCATCTGGTTGTAAAAAACTTTCACCCCCTTGTGTACGGTCGAGAGGTGACCATCAAGACATGTCATAGTCTAGTTACCGCGATCGCATTAAAACGAATCGCAGATGTGCCACGGCTGCTGCAAAAGGTTTTATTGCGTTTGCTGAAATACGATTACTATCTGCAGTTCATTCCAAGAAAGCAGCTGTACTGGCCGATATGTTGTCCCGTTCGTCGCCTACTGATCACTATGACCACCCGGGTTATATCTATAGGGCGTTGAAGTGCACGCGGTGGCAGTAGTTTCCACCTTCATCAGCAGAGCAACGTTGCAGAAACTGGAACAAGAAACTGCCAACGACCAGTAAATGCTAGCCGTCGTTCGATGCCTAGAATACAATCAAGAAATTCAAGGTCGGTCCAAGCCCTGCACCTCCGAGCTTTTAGTGGTTGAGGGGGTGATTTTAAAGGGTTGGAAGGTTGTTGCGTCAAAGAGACTCTGACAAAACATAATGAAGCGAACACACGAAGGTCACCAGGGCATAAACAAATGCAAAGCAAGAGCAAGGCGCTTGGTCAAGGCTTAGAGGCGACATTCGGACATTGCTACAAGCAAGCGCCATTTGTAAAAAAAAATAATATGCGTGTAGACAAGAGGCTGAGTCACTACAACTCCGGCCAGCACCCGAGAACACGTGGATTGGTGTACACCTCTTCTCAATGTGGAGGGGAGTCGTATATCTGCGTATACGATGCGCACTCCGAATCCCCGAGAGAGTATACACGATACGACTGCACTCTCTGCAATCGAGAAGCTCGGAGCGATCGTTGTTTGATTCCCATGGAGATCTGTTGTGGCAATGCTCCTCAATTCAGATCGTAACGCGTTTCATCAATTTGTTGTTCAGTGTGATTTTCAGCACATTACTTAAAGCCCGGAGCGTCCACGTTCCAACGGGTTGGCGGAGGACGCTATTCAAATCGTAAAAGGCGTCTTGAAGAAAACGAGGGAAGCGCGGGAGGGCTCTTGGCTGGGGTTAATAAACTATCGGCCGACCCCTCTGGAAGATGGCCATTCGCCTGGGGAGCTATAATAGCGCAGGGATATGAGCGCTTCGCACAACTCTCCCGTAGTTCAACGATGCGTCCGGAACGCAGGTGAAGAAGCACCGCCGGCTGGAGGACAAAAGGCCACCCTCTCCTAGTGCTGAAGGAGGGCACGGCGGCATCAAGACCAGTATTGTACGCGTCACTGAAAAAAAGTAACCGATTACAATTACAATTACTTTAGTGACAAATGTAACTGATTACAGTAATCAATTACTGCATCACAAAAGTAACTGAAAAGTTATTAGAAAGTAACTGTCCACGTTACTTTTTTGTACTTTTTATTACGAAATCAAAAATGCAACCATATGTTCAAAGTGATTACCTTTTGTTTCCTTTTGTCATTCGCATCTTGTTAAACTTCAACACGCAGTTGTCGTTCAAAGTTCATCGAACGACAACTGCTGTTGAAGTCGTATATGCCGCGGCAAACCCGCATCATAAAAACCCGTACGCGGGAAACGAGGCACTCTCTACGGCTCTACAGTCAAAACATCGCTAAGCGCGTTGACATTCTAGCTCTTTTGGTATCTTGGTATCATTTTTTAGTTGTTTAAGGGTCAAAAAAAGTGTCCAACGTTGGTGCAACATAGACGAATAGACAAAACTTAAAAATTTTAGCTGTTTCGGAAAAATAATTGATTACTTGTAATTGATTACAGAAAATAGCAATTGCATTACAGCGAACGTTACCGCAGAAAAAAGGTAATTGAAGAGTTAAAAAGTGACAATAAAATGTAGTCGATTACAAGTAATTGGTTACTAGTAACTCGCTACGTACAAGTCTGATCAAGGCGTCCCTGTTGTCAAACAAAACCGCCCAGTCGACTGGAATTCGGCCAGAACTTTACACAAATAACGTACAGTGAACTAAATAGCGATTTTAATCATGTACTCGTGTGTGTACTGCACTTATGAACAACCCGATGTATATCGCGATAAAGCTTTCCTTTCCTGCCAAAGTAGCAATAATACGAAAAAAAAAAAAAAAACGACGAGTAAACAAGCATAATAAACCGGCGGGAGCGCGGGGCTTTACTGTGCTTCACCGCCAAACGATACCGCCAACTCGACGGAAAAGACCACGGAGAAATATAAGAAGAGAGAGAGAAAGCGAATCTCGGCGCCGAAGTGGACGGTGTCAAGCAAGAGAGCTTTGCTTTGCTTTGTTCCTTTTGATGGCGTACATCCGTGCGAACGAATAGATATTAGAAAGTTCTAGGGAACCGTTTTTGCACGTCCGATACAGAACGATGGGCCCTCCGGTATGAATTGCGCATGTGCGAGCCTTCTGAGGTGGCGCATGCGCAGTTCGTACCGGAGGGCCCATTGCACCCTATCGGATGTGCAAAAACGGTTCCCTAGAACTTTCTATAGAGAGTTTTAGAAAACGTTTTTGCATATCCGATACTGTCCGCGCGCTCTATTTGGTTGTGACGGGATATTGTGAAGTGATGTCGGCAAAACGAAACCAAAACTGTGCCCCCCCCCCCCCCCCCCCCCCCCAAAGGATGCCCAAGATACTTTGCACGACGCTACACCCTTAGGGTCGTTTCGATTTTGCAAAAAGTCTATGCGTAGTGCAGGTTCGTCTGCTTTTTTCTGCAGGGGTTGTGGTGACGTCAGAACTCCGAGCTCCGATTGATTCTGATCGAAGGACAGTGGGTAGACCTCAAGGCAGCTTGTTTTGAGGTCTACCCACTATACTTCAATCAGAGCCAATCAGAGCACGGCGTCGTTATGACGTCACCGCAACTCCTGTGGAAGAAGCAGACGATTTGCTCTTCGCACTGGTCACCGCCGAGTTAGCCCAAGCCGCTGACTTGTCCTCAAGACCGCGGTCTTGTCCTCCGACACGTTCCTGTGGTCCGCGGACTTGGTCTTGAGCCTTGCCTGCTTTTATCGCCTGGAAGGTGGCGGATTTCGAGCCCCGGAAAAGGTGACGTCACGGATTTCGTAGGACCTTGTACGGAGACAAGTCCGTCGTGTGAATGCTCCGTGAAGTATCTTCTCCGTCGGCGCAACAACCAGAAACAGTGCAACTTTGTGGAACAATCCGACACAAATTGTGATACTCACAGTTGGATAAGCGACAGCAGGATACATCTATGGCGTCAGCAGGCAGAAATCAAGGCGGTAAACACCGGTCGGAGACGCGTTTCAGGAACCACAAAAGTGTCTCCAGCATACTGCTGAAGCGATCATCTTTTGAACTCCCGGTTCGAGGGTTTCTTCGGTGGAAGATGCGTGGACGAAATATTCGCGCGCACTCGTGCCATGCCAAAACACATTCCACCCGAGAAACCCTCGAACCGGGTGTCCGGGAAAGGGTCCGTTGACTTGAAATCTTCCTCGCGCTTCATATTTGTGTCATCTTGAAGCGCATCCTTGAAAAGTACGAGCTCTAATCTCGCAACCTCGTGTCCTCGCAGGTGTTTCTTGGGCTGTTGCTTTCTTCCGTTCTGCGTGTACGAGTGCCAAGACGTGGAACACTTCTGCCCCAACTGTCGACGTATACTCGGTGTATTTCGGCGGGTTTGAAGCCTCCGAACGCCGAACCGGCGCTGTATAGAAGCCAACGACGTTTCCAGTTGCCATGTGGGGCCCACCGCGTTAAGATTAATTTTATCAGATATATTAGTTTACGAATATCTTCGCGCAAAAAACCAGGACGTGGAAATAGTCGTAGAAATCAACCACGTGACGCTAAGAAACCCTGATCGATCTTAGGGTCACGGATAAATAAATCCCCAATTTGCTACGCAAAGGAGGAACAGTGTCGTGAGAAAGCAGATACGATAAACGTAAAATAATCGACTGGAACACAAAAAATATCTGACTGTGACAAATGACGGAACTAAAAACAGCGGACAAATAAAATAAAATAAAGTGGTTATTCATCTACATTAAGTAGACGCTGTGTTCATATTCGGGGACAACTTGCATTCATTCATTCCTTTACTTAACCTTAAAGGGGCACTGAAGTCATTTTTGAACAAGGTCGTTTTTTATCTTATATTGTTTAAAATGTGTTAGTTCCCACATATATTAAGTCCTATATTACAAGACCGCCTATTAAACTAAGGGCAAGAGAAAAACATCTGGACTCTTTTCTCTCGCGGACTACATTGTGTGGACCAATGAAGGCCCCACAATACGCCCATACTCCGAAAGATTTTATTATAACTTGTTTCGAAGAGAGTCTGATAGGTGCACATTCGCGTAAGACTCCCCTTTTTCTCTGCGAATGAAGCCATCGCTTCCAACTTGCCAACAAGTGTTTTTCGTCGACCACTTCACTCAGAAGAAAATTCTTACCAAAAAGGGCGTGTCACGATCTTTGAACACGTTTTTAACGAGGAAATAAGCTACGCACGATTGTAATTTCGGCTTTGTTGGGATGCTTAGAGCGTCTAGATTGAGTTGTCAGCACAAAGTGACGATCTCAGAATCGACTTCAGTTCCCCTTTAAGGGCCCATTAAGGGCATTACATAAGGAAATGCCATTTCTGTGGCATTTCAGAAGAGAGAAGCAAAGCACTATTTCACATCTTTGGTCAGCTCTGAAGCATGCGTACCCGTACTTTTGACTCCATAGCCACAGAAAATTGTCCCGGATTATAAAGTGCCGCAGACAACGACTCCACCGAGTCTTCGAAAAGTACACCCAAAAACAAAATGTCGGAGAACAATTTAAAAAGCGTAGTTTCCAGAACGGTTTCATCAGGTGCCGTTCAAGTACTAAAGTCCAACGAGATTTTGTGATTCCGTTTACAAAATGATACATTGAAATCTGTTTCAAGAAACTTCATCCTGCAGCACCAAACGACCTACAAGTCGAGTATAGTGCCAATATTATGGTGTAAATTCGGGAGTGAAAAAGAATAATGATTTAAAAATATAATAAATCAGATTTATCTTGTTTATATTATTAAGACCATTTTAATCGATTGGTCTAAAATAGTGATTTTTCTCAATTCTATGTTTTGAGTCGCGACAGATTTATTTTTCAACTTATCCAATCATTGAAAACCACGGAAGAAAAATTCACTCACAATTCAATTATGTCGTGAAACAAAAATGTAAATTAAATGTTTTTTTTTTATTATTATACTGTGCGAACCATGCCATACTAAAAAAAAAAAAAAGTTGTTTGGCTCTTGCTGCAGTACCTCAGCAAACCAGAACAGGAGCTACGTTCGAGTTTACTTATGCGTCGCAAAGGTTGCGGACAAAACTTTCAATGTTTTTCTCCTCTTGAGTTTCCGTCAACTTCGTGAACATGATGTCACTGTGGTCACCTGCTCTGCGGCCGTCTCCAGGCGAAATATTAAAGGTCTCGGAGCAACACCAAAAATTCAAAACGCAAAAAAAAAAAAAAAAAAAAAAAATCTTTTAGCAACGTAAATTATGATTTCTGAAATCAAGTAATGTTTACGAGTCGCCTAGTGGCAATGCTTTTTGTTTTGTTTTTCTTTTGATTTCAATCTACGCAAGGCGGTTGTGTGGCCTAATAGACAACTTCCAAAAATACCTGCACGCAAAACCCGGTACGGCTTTCGAGCGCTGCCTTTCCTGCTCTCTACCTCGTCGCCCTACTCGCGGCACACGTAAACAGGGGTGGAACTTTTTTACAATTTCTAAAAAGAATTTGAAAAAAGAAAACATGACAAATTTTGCGTACTTCTCCAGTAGTCAAAGGAAACCATGCCCCCCCCCTCCCCCTTTCCCTCCCTCCCCCTCCCCCCTCTTCGTGCCCACGCCAATGGACTTGTCAGTTATAAAAGACGGAAGAACAAAACAAAAGATGTCGGAAACAACAGAAGGTACCAGTCTTCACAGCAGGCTTCTGGATTAACTACTTCGGCGGACTTCAGTCTTGCTGCACCGAAGGCTTTGCACGTGCTGTGAGGTCAGTGGTCGCGCTGAACCAACACCTTCTAAAAACTAAATCCTGCGCGCCCGCTGTAGGCGTCACGTCCGTGTCGTCTGCAGTTCGTCTATTAACTTACGACGACTTAAAACACTCATGATAAATATTAGCGACTACGCCATTTCCACAATTATTTAACGTCCTATGTAGCGCTGCTGTGCAATCACAAATATTTTAATTTGAAACATTTTTGACGTCCATGTTTACCACACAACTAGAAAATACGAAAAATAGTATTTTCCGACTAGCGCCGTCCAGGTGGTTTCCTGAAAGATAAAATAGAAGTAACAGCACGCTCTCGACCTCCCATCACAAGTTGGACGGTCACTTTCGTATTTAAAGAAAATAAGTGACTGCTCGCTAATTAAAGGGGCGGTGCAACGATTTTCGGACTTTGGCCACTTAACTGCGGGAGTTAATCTGTGTCACCTATGGAAGGAACAGAAAAACGTTTTCTTGCGCGCGCTACTTTTTATTTGGAAAAAAAAGGAAAAAGAAATCGAAGGCCAAAGTGCCTCTCAACTTCCAAGTCTTCTTCCGAGTGATGTACTCTGGGGGACCACCTGCATGGTTTCCTGTCCGGTTCCCTCTTCAGGTCCCCCAGACGTTTGTTTTATTTTAAAAAGAAAATGTTTTTATTCAGATCTTCCAGTCATTTGTTCTATTTAAAAAAGGCAGTTTTAATGGAGTAAAACAAGCAAATACGACACAAAACGTGACCGTTTGACGACGCGTCAGAAGGCCATTATGTAATAAATAAACGTGACAAAATGTATAGTTTGTATGATGAGACAACTTCCTTTTTGCCTCCGTTTCGGGTCTTAGTATGTTAATCTACAGAGATGCCCTTGTTCCTACACATTTATTTTAAAACAATGCTAACTTTTTGAGAACATAGTCCTACCGAAAATCCCCAGTATACTTGGGAGAAGAGCGTGTTGGTTTTGGTCATGGATGAAGAAAGAATAAAACAATTAAAACAGGGACAACACAACCACATCTTTCAACTAGCAACAGACGAGTAAACTCAGTTTACTCGTCTGTTGCTAGTTGAAAGATGTGGTTGTGTTGTCCCTGTTTTAATTGTTTTATTCTTTCTTCATCCATCCCCAGTATAACTTTTCAGTATCTGAATCATGAAGCTGAGAATCTAACTGGAATAGTTTTTGGAAACCTGAAATCCACATAAAATCCAGATAGCGAAAAGTTATACTGGGTTTTTCGGTAGGGACACATTTGCTTTTTTTTTTGCAGGAGCAGACCTTGCACTCTGCGCAAGACATCATTTTTCTATTTGCATACGTTGTTGAGAAAAATGTCTGTCGACTCCCTTGCACACAGGTCCAACTTTTCGAACTCTGGCAGAGCAGCTAGTGTAAGGTCCCTGACAACTTTTCGTTGATCACGTAACAGCAAGAACTGAGCGATGTGTTGGGACGACATAAGCTTGTTTACAACTTCTGCGTGCATTACCGCACTGATGACCAGTAGTGTTGAAAGGTGCAGTCCCCCTCAATTTAAACCATCTGTAAGATGGTGATTCACTGCATGCATCGTGAGAAAGTGTCTTCTCCGGAACCAAATGTTCTCTCCGGTATTCCAACTTGAATGTTTTCACCGTCACAGAGGCGAAGTATTCAGCTACGAAGGTCAGAATAGGAGTCTTGGACGACAGCGCTACTAAATCATAGTCGGCGACGTCAAATGGAAAAGCTATAGAACACAACGCAAAATACTCTGCGCAGGTGACTCGCATGCTACAACCAACAAAATATCTCAAAACACTCTAGAAGGGGTAACTCGTTGAAACAATAACGACTATGCCTCTTTGAGAATACGAAAAAAAAAAAAAAATATCGGAGTTCTTCTAAACACACTGACAATTCAGAAAGTGCAAGGATAAAACAAAATACAGAACTTGAAAGTATAAAACAGCGAGGACGAGGACGGGAACAGGACATTTTCATTAAGCAACAACATAAAATGGCACAACGATAAAACCGCCCCCCCCCCCCCCCAAAGGTTTCAACGTTTTCAAAGAGGGAAAGGAGATAATTGTTATAAAGGAAAAGGAATACATATAAAAGTTTAAAAAGCGCTGACGTCACGAGGAGGTATCACTTCTCTAGTTATCTATAAGTACTTAGAATTCAGCCTCTGTCATTGTCAGTGATAATGAAGGAGCAGAAATATTGTTTACAGACCCAAAGGGAAATGTACTATAAATATAAAAGTTTAAAAAGCTTTAGCGTTACGACGAGGTGTCAGTAATCTAGTCATCTCTGGTGTTAGGAATTCGACCTCTGTCTCTGTAAATGATAATGAAGGTGTAGAAATGTTGTTGTTTACAGTCCCCATGACAAATGATTCAATGATTTCTCTCCCGAACCTGTTGTTGTACCCGCCTAGTATTCTAGTATCAGAAAAATAAGGAGTAGAGTCATCGCACGTACGACTCATTTGAAGCCTTTGACGTTTCCAAGTTGTTTCTCTGAGTCGATGGTTGACGCATCTCCTAGTCTGTCCCACGTACTGACTGCCACAGCTTAGTGGAATTGAATAAACCTTTCTTTCTTCGCATTCTACGAACTTTTTGGTATGCTTTACATTGCACCCTCTGAGACTGTCGCTCCCATTAACCATTTTGC